TTTTGGGACGAGAATCTCTAATATAAGCTTTAAGAGACCTTGATAGTAAACTAGGTAAGTGTACTGACTCGCAGTAATAACTAATATTAAGGGTCTTATATATATTAGGGAAAAATTAGTTTCTGGTATAGTTATATAATGACTTGAAAGTTGCCTACTATAACGGCTGGTATTATATGGTTAATACGGACGTGGTTTCAGCCAAAGGGATTAGTTTTAGCTAAGGTTCCAAGCTATGATTTAAACCAAGCTCGCTTCCAAAGCTCGGCGTTTCAGTAGTCTTGGCCATACCTACTTATCCACTGCCACCCTCACTCCTTCCTCCTTAGCTTTAAATTCTCAAGACATAGGAAATCATTGATCTTTGAGCCTCGTTCCATTGCTCTGTTCCTGCCGTCACACCTACTACTTTTTATTAGAAGAAGCTGGGAAAGCAATAACTTGTAGACGTATTATATATATTCTATACTAATATATAATCCTTTCCCTCAAGCCTTAGTCAAAAGTTTTCAATAAAGCCTGAAAGCGATAGAAAGATTCAGTTAGGAAATCTCTGCAGAAAATATAAAAAACCAGTAATATTAGTACGTGATAAACTAGTCCGAGGTTTGCAGGTTTTGGGCCAAATTTGCTTCTTGGAAATAAGAAACAATGTGGAGAGAAGTAATCCTAATGAAGATTAAGGCGAGATTGGATGAAATACGGTTATTTTTTAGCCACGTTGCGAGCTCATTTTCAAACCATCTTGGCAGTTAGGTTGCAATTACTAACTAAAATTAAAATTAACCTAGAAAATTTCTTGCTACCCCAGAATTTCATGCTTCTTCTGTAGCAAAACTGCATTTAATCTAAGTGAAACTACGGCTCTTTTAAACTATAAACACACCAAGGTCTCGATCTCCCAACCTATCTAATACTCCTTTACATACTAGCACTGTTCTCCCCCAGATACCAATACGAGCGATAGCTCAATCGAGGTCCCGATTGCCCAATCGCGAGTGTGACGGCTGGCGTCACTGCATGATCTGCCAGGAATAGGAATCAGGAAACAGGGAACAGGTCTGAAACAGGGAACTAAGCTAGAGGTATGGGCAACGCACTACTAAAGGTCGAGGCATTCCTCCCTCCTTTACTCTCCAGCTTAGTATTTCAATACACGAGATTCTCTGAACTTTGAGCCTTCGGCCATTGCATGGATCTCGCCGTCACAGCGTTCTTAAATTAAACCGTATCTAGGCCGTGAATTACCAGTCGCACGCGTTTAAGCTTGTTTATGCTTGCCTCGTCACACTCCCCTGTCTACCAAGTCAAGCTATTCGGCACAAACAAATTTTGAAGCACAATCCAGTGGGTCGTGCTATGATAATAATCCTTTCCCTTTCTCAGCTGAACTACCCATTTCATAAGGACGCCAATTGACTTGGCTGTAAATGTTCCTTGTGCTCGGTCGTGTGGATTTCTTAGTTACTCCAGATTTCTCTCGCCTCCAAAAGGGGGTGATCTTCAGGCTAATTTTCGGCGTCCCTTTCCTCACGGTAGGTGGGGCTCTAAAAGAGTGCGGGCGCGAAACTAATGCTGACTCAGGTGGACCAAGCGACTTCTGGGGAAGGCACGACCGCGTCGCGAGCTACGAAGTAAGGCCCTGTTTCGCAACCCTTGATGCTGGTATTTGTCAGTATTTGAACACTAGTAACGTCCATCCCTGCGTGCCGAAAAAACCGGTGTGCCGAAAAATATAATGGGTACTTTGACTTAAAGCATCTTAAAATCTATATGTAGCTTAATATTGTGGTGGGGATTTTATCCCCTGGTCACGTGGTTCTGTCATGTGACCTCCGGACATCCGTACAGTCCGCAGTCCGCTTATATTACCCCTCTCTCCTTCTTAGTTCTTAGAAATCAACTAACCTTCACTCTCTAATTCCACGTCTCACTCGTACGCTGTGATCCCACGCTGTGGAAGCCCATTCTACACTCTATATTACTACTTGTTTTATATCCCCATTACAATATCTCTTATTATCTATCTTTTATTAGTCATATTATATAGCTACTCTTAAGTACTCCAAACCTCTTTTACTAGAAAATCGCTTTTACATTGTTGCCTTTGCGCCTAATTTGCAAAGAGAGTTCTTTTATTATATAATAGTATTCTTCTACCACAGCTCCACTAACAAGCTTATATTTTCCTTAATACTTCTAAAGGAGCCTTATCCAAGCTCTGAGACATTACCACTACTTAAGAAATCGTTATTAGCCTTGTGGTGCTGTGGCGGCCAAAATTCAAGTACGGTTGCTACGCGGATGAGTACCTCGGCTGACAATTCTAGTTAGTGCGAACCCACGTCCTATAACATTTACGCTGTAATCTGATTTATAAAGCCTCAGGCACGAAGCCCAGCTTTGGCTGGAGTGGTGCGCGGTACAGTCGGTCCGACCCAAACACAACAAAAAAAAAAAAAAACCACCACAATACCAATTGATATAAATCGTATTAATTGAAACTATACTATATATGCTAGGAATCAATTCTATAGTCTCAAAATTATGATATCTTTATTATTAAGGGAGTTATAATATATGTAATTAAGCGAGTAAATATTTTTGCGCTTTGTATGGTCATTTTTTTTACTTTGGCTGTCACGTGACTGCCCCCCTAAGTTGACCGCTCTTCCATAATTATATTAATATCTCAACAACCACAAACCCAATCAAGTGCCCTTTTCGAATACTTCCTTCCAATGGCTACCTCTATAAGCCTTCGGAAGCGCAAGCGAGCTGATTCAACTCTTGATTCAATTACAGTTCTCACCATAGCTAAAGAAGCTGCAATCCAAGCGACTATCGACAAACGGCATGGGAAACCCTCTAATATAGAGGATGATTCTGATAATTCAGATATCGAACCAAGTAATGAAGTAGAGCTTAAAGATTCGATACTCTTTTGGGTTCAGCGGAAGCTTTTTACTAGTGTAATGAATAATTATTTTAGAGAAGCCTATAGTTGCACAGCGAGATCAACCCAATTGAGATGTATTGGGGGTATAGCAAAACTCGATATCGTCAAGTAAAGAAGACTAGCTTCCCAGATACCAAAGCTAAGGTGGTAGAGGCACTTGAAGCTTGTTCAATTGAAACCATACGGAGGTTCTGTAATCGTACGTTCCGCTGGATGGATGCGTACCGGAAGGGATTAAGTATTAAACAAGCTGCTTGGTGCGTAAAGAAGCAAAAACGCCATAGAACGATATCTAAAAAGGTAATGGACGAATGGGATAATATGCAAAAGGAAGGGAAAGAAGGTAGCTAAATAAGAAGCTAGGTTTATGGATTTAGTTCAGCTAAAAGTGAGCTTGAAACCTATTTAATTATAGCCCCACCATATATATAATATATATGGCACTAGAAAAAGCTATATTTAGTACTTAGGAAGGTTCATTTAAGCTTATAGGGCTTAATTATTATTATTTTATTAATAATAAGGCTAGTGAGATGCCGCGATCTCTTCCTAAAGTCCGGGCTCACGTGACCTTAGCGAGCAAATATATTTGCGTTTTGTATGACGAAAAATCAAAAAAGTAAAAAGGGTCCGTACACTTTAGGCCTTAATTATTAATGAACCACAAATTATATCAAAAATCTGATTAATAGGTATTTTTCGCCTGGTTCTATTCTATAATCGCATCACTTAGTATAAATTAATGAAGGTCGTGGTTGAAAAGTTATTATGGGCGTAAAAGAGCGAGCGTTTTGTCGTGTTTGGGTCGGACCGACTGTACTCCACATCCAGCTTAGTAATGACTTCGATGCCTGGCGTGGTTAGTCCAGGCGCAAACATAATCTTGAACATGACAGACCCTGTGTCCATATTCGCATTAAAGCCAGCATCGAATCTATCGCCTAGAATTTGCCAAAATATTGCATGACCGCACAGCCTGTGGATATTAGGCAACGTATTGGCACCCCCTATGGTGTTCGGCTTACCGAAGGTCATCCACGTTGGGCAAGGTCCTCAGAAACTCACCAGGTTCAGGCCTACTTACTACCCCAGGGTGGCCTGCCCAACCTGTAATAATTTGTTCACAGATGGACAGTACCTTCCGGACAAGAAGCTTCAAGAGTATGCAGCTTCAGCAACAAATGGATGCCAGCAATGCAGAGTTGTTGTCTCATCTTTTCACCTTCTTTATGCGCACGATATTGATTCTCAGGATCTAAAACAAGCGATCAACACGACCTTCTCTCGGAGTTCTAGTGCTTTAAGTTTCTCATTATCACCAAAAAACCTGATAAGACATGACGTTAGGTCTCTCCATATATATCGAACGCCAGGTACGTGGAAGTGTCAAGCGTTAATATCATTGCTTCTGTGATAGGGCGTGGCATAGCTGATGGTATTCATCGTCAGAAGGAGAGCCATCGTTGGACAAGATCAAATTACACCACCATATTAGTGATACGTCTTCACTGGCATCGCTGAAAATTGCGAAATCTTGGCTGAGGCAATGCTTAGGAAGCCATGACTCATGCCAGCAGACTCCCTCCGCAAGGCCGGTTCTGCCCAAAAGGACGATATTTCTTGGCTCGAATAATGACACGATTGCTTTACGCGAAAATACCCAAGAAAACGAGCAGTACATCTGCTTGAGCCATCGTTGGGGTGTTACTAGTCCTTTGTGTACTACCAGCCAATCCATAGCCTCGCATAAAGTTGGCATACCGTGGAAAAATCTACCGAAAACTTTCCAGGATGCCATTCAATTCAGTCGACAATTGTATGTCCGACACTTGTGGATTGATTCTCTTTGTATCATTCAAGATGATGAAGGCGACTGGGCAGAAGAATCAGCCAAGATGGCTTCGATATACTCAGGAGCGATCCTCACGCTAGCAGCCGCTGCTTCTTCTGACAGCCATGGGGCTTGTTTCGAGCTCCAAAACCTCCCCAGAAAATCAACTTGAAAGTTAACGGAGGATTTTCAGGAAGTGTATTTGCTATCCCTGAACTTCATCTTAAACGCCTTCCTTTACTAAGTAGAGGTTGGGTGTTTCAAGAGCGTTTCTTGTCAAAACGAGCTCTTTACTTCAACCAGCATGAACTTTCCTGGAGCTGCCAAAACGGGGTCACTATTTGCGAATGTGGGGATAAACATTCGTATGGAGGAGACGGGTTCCAAGCCGTGATAAGCGCTACCCGAAGATGGACGACTATTGTACAACATTACTCGAGGTTGTGGCTCACTATGCAAAAGGACAAACTCCCGGCGTTATCTGGTGTAGCTCATGAATTCGAACTCAAGGCGAACAAATCAACACCTCCTGGGAAATACTGCGCTGGCCTGTGGGAATCAGATCTCGTGGTACAGTTGGGCTGGGCAGTGAATTCTGGTCCCTTTGCCCGACCAATAGGACACAGAAGACCAATCAAGTATCGAGCACCGAGCTGGTCATGGGCCGCAGTTGATGGTGAGATAGTGTTCCACTTGCGCAGGGAGGCATTTAGACATGGCAGTCTCTTCACAGCCCAAGTTTTGTCTGCGCAATGCGTGCCGTCCTCAACAGATCCTTATGGCCAGGTATCTGACGGATACCTTGAATTAGCAACGATACTATTTCGGGTCAGCATACCCAAAGATGTCCAGGACCCCGGAGCACGCACAAATATAACTCTTGAAAAAGGAGATACGTTGACTGGGCCTGGCCACGCCATTATTGACTCTCCAGACGATAACACAAGAATTGGATAGGGTCACGCAGTAGTGGAGGCATCAGGCGCACTCTTGATGCACACCAGGTTTCCGAGAATGCACTTACTGAGTTTCATTTTATTAGAACCAGAAGATACTAATGACAACGGTTCTTGCCAGCAGCGATGGAAACGATTTGGTTTTGCTCGAGTTGAAATAAGTGAAGAGCAGCTTCCTGTTGTATTAGAGATGCTTGGCGATTCACTGGAGACTCTTACAATAATTTAGCCAGTTAATATTTGGCTTTCACACACGACCGCGCCACACTACGCTTCAAATTCACGTGATGACTGTAAAATGTGTTGCAAAATACGACTAGCGTGGCTGTGAATACTGTATAAGCCAGGCGATAAATCTATCCTCGCTTATTGGCATTTTGCGTGCCTCCCACTTTTGTCCGGATACATCCGGCAGGTAGGTTTTCGTGTACTGCTTGTCTTCAAACCTTGGAATTATATTCAACCTTAATAGAAGCTTTATGCTACGGCCCCGGATTCCAGTTACAGGTTGATAGTCATGACAGAACAAGGGTTAGCCGCTAAAGTAGCTTTGGATGCTCTCAGCAGGTCAATGAATAGCACAGCTAAACTGCAGTAATTTTCTGACTGCTAGTCGAGGCCTTATAGAGAGATAGCTAGAGAATAGTAGCATACTAATTACAACTTTATATATTTAAGTAGTGGAGTTTTAAGACCCCTCGACTATAAAGTTTTTTCGGTATACTAGTTTTTTCGGCATACAGGGATAGACATTATTTGTTTATTTAAAAAAAAAGTGTTTCGTATATTTTTATTTACTAGTAATAGTCACTAGTATTCAAATACTAGTAATCGCTCCCATACTAATCTTAGTATCCATAGAACCACCTATTATAGGTGGTTCTGTAGATGCTAAGCATTTGAATACTAGCTTTTACTACCTTTATAGGCCTCTCTAGGGCATAAATTCTCTCTAAAGCTTTATATTTTGCGATTCTAGTAGAATATATCTTATATTAATTTATTTAGTAGTAAGTAATATAATGTGTAGTTCTTTTATTAATTACTTTTCTATATAATAATTAAATATTTCTAGGCTATAAGACGCTATAATTATAGGGAGCAACACGAATTATTACAGAGGAAATTAGTGAGGCTGAAAATAGGGGCTAAAACGCTAGCGGAGATGAAGCTAAAACCTCCGTAATTGTGACGGCAGGAATAGAGCAATGGAACGAGGCTCAAAGATCAATGATTTCCTATGTCTTGAGAATTTAAAGCTAAGGAGGAAGGAGTGAGGTGTGGCAGTGGATAAGTAGGTATGGCCAAGACCACTGAAACGCCGAGCTTTGGAAGCGAGCTTGGTTTGAACCATAGCTTGGAACCTTAGCTAAAACCAACCCCTTTGGCTGAAACCACGTCCGTATCAACCATGTGACACCAGCCGTCACAGTAATTATAATAATATTCAGTTCTACATTTTGCGAAATACTTTAATTAATGCATTTACTAGCTTTGATTATCAAGTAATGAAAGCTGGTATTTGGTTATCGCGATTACCAGCAAATGAAAGACGTGCAGCCATGCGAAACGGGCCCTAAGTGGAACGTTCATCCTGAACAGAAATATCAAGGGCTCGAATCTCTAACGACGATATTGAGCGCCTCTATAATGATCTTGATGCTGGGGTCAAGCCATATTTTCTGAGCTCACATGCAGAGGGAGTATCGGCTATTTTCTTTTTCCAAGCGTCAGGTGTGTGGCTGAAGCTAATCCTTCACGTGTACCGCAAGGCTGTTTGCAATATTCGATACATCAATGACAGCCATGATGGAAAGAAGGTCTACAGTCGGTCCGATCCAAAATCGACAAAAGGGTCGCCTTTTTGTATCCATAATAACTTTTTAACCACAACCCCAATTAATTAATACTAAGTAATGTAATTATAGAAAAGAACCAGGCGAATAAAACTTATTAATCAGATTATTAATGCGATTTGTGGTTAATTAGTAATTGAGGTTTAAAGTGCACGGACGTTTTTAACTTTTTTGATTTTTGACCATACAAAACGCGAAAATATTTTACGAAAGTCACGTGTACCTAAGTAAATAATAAATTAAACTTAGACTTAAAAGGCCTTATAAGGCCCCTTAAGCTTCTATAAGCTTAGTATATATAGTAAGAGCTTAAACTTTGGAGAGTTATTAGTAAAGAAAGTATAAAGTATAAAAAGTTCATGATTTTAATCACGTGCAACCTCGTATATTATACAAGGTGTAATTTTTTACCTATATAAAACGCGAAAATTTCTATGCGAGCTCGTATAAAAATGATCACGTGCTTTGTAACTCCCGTAATATTAAAGGTATTAAAAATCGGAGACCAGGAAATCAATTACTATAAGATATACGATAATTCCGATTAATACGATTTACATTAGTTAGTATTTTGGTAGACTTTTTTCATTTTGTCGCTTTTGGATCGGATCGACTGTATTCAACTCGTTCAATACGCTAAGCGAGGACGAGCGTAATCTTGACCCTCGCAATACAGAAATTCTCACAATTCCGCCTCAAATTTAATTATTGTAAAAATTTCGCGAAAGTTAGATCTCCTCCTTTTCTATTACTCAAAATATTTTTAAAGAGTTTTAAGTATTCCGTCGAGATTCGGTGCAATTTTCTAATCATAGCGGTTTTGGTGTTCCACACGGTTTTCAAGGCCACCTTCCCTCATACTCATGTGCACGGCCGTTCTCTGAAAGAAAGTTCAAGTTGTAGTTTCAGGCAAGTTTAACTTTTGAGAGATTCCGTACAAGAACCTTAAGTGAACAATTATCTTCCTTTCACCTCCTTTATCTTTGCTTTTCTGTCTTTATTTTTATTTTTTATTTTTGTTGGCATTGTCGACGACGTCCGAAAATGCTACAAAGTGGGGACCAGCCTTTGAAGGATCCAGATTCAGAAAAACTGCTTACTAAGTGGGATTCATCCTCATCGTTTGAGCTCGAGGGTCCCAGAACTCTAGCTCTTGAACTGGATCTCGAGGAGAATGGCCTGCCTCAAGATAAAAAAGAAATTCAGGGAGAGAGTGTGCGTGGATGGCGAGTAAGTTTGTCAGTTAATCACCACGTAGGCTGTGCCCTGATTGATATGACAGTGGGTCCTATATGTTACCGCCCTTGCGTCTGCTATGTTCTTTTACTGCATCGACAAAAGCGTAACGACTATTATTATCCCAGTCAGCCTCCCCCTCCGTTGATGACGCCTCATGCTAAGACCTCTCTACTCTTCAGATTATGGTCAGCGAACTTGGGGAAGCATCGAAGCTACCGTGGGTATTCGTGGGGTAGGTCAGACCGACATTCTTAAGGCATCAAATCTCTACTGACAGTGAAGGGTAGTTTTGGTCTAGGAGCATTGTCTCTTATTCTGCCGGTTGGGCAGTTATACAGCCTCTATAACGCAAAACACCTCTATCTAGGATTTCTTACGACGTTCATTCTAGGTTCCACATTATGTGGCGCTGCATGGAGTATGAATACCCTCATTATTGGTCGAGTTCTTGCCGGCGCAGGAGGTACCGGGGTCTACACGGGTATCATGACTATTCTCACAGCCACGATAGATGTAAAAGAGAGACCAGTGTATTTGGGCGCTATGTGAGCATTTCCTTCGTATACTTCGCACACCTCTCTGGGCCAATCCAGACTTACACTTTATTATAGTGGACTTTTTTGGAGTATTGGGCGCATACTTGGACCATTAATTGGTGGCGCCCTGGGGAAAACTGCCTGGAGGTGGGGATTCTATATCAACCTGATCGTGTGCGCGCTTTTCACACCGGTCTACATATATCTCCTTCCAAACATTCACCCCTTCCCAGGCGTGCCACCCCTAGTTCGACTTCGAAAATTGGATGCATTAGGTTGGATCCTGAGCATTAGTGCAATAGTCTCACTTTTTACGGGGGTGAACTTTGGTGGCACGCGGTTCTTGTGGAACTCCGCCACGAGCATCACCATCTTTATTACTGCTGGAGCCTCGCTTGTTCTATTGGCTTTCCAACAAGGCTTGTGTATCTTCACGAGTCCGAAAGACCGTCTCTTCCCGGTCAAAATGCTGTTCATACCAGAAGCCTGCTTGATTTTTGTAATCAGTGCATCAAGCAGCATTGCCGGGTTTGTTCCAACCAATTTTGTTTCACTTTATTTCCAATTTAGTAGAGGAGATAGCGCGTTGATGGCGGCACTACGCTTGCTCCCTATGATTTTTGCAATGTCGCTAGGGTTGTCGCTGTCGGGATATCAGATGCCAAGGATTGGGTATCTCGAGTTCTGGCCAATTGTAGGAAGTTTGGTTGCACTTCCAGGGATGATTTTAATGGGTAAGTACACTAACTCCTCTAGTAGAGATATTTCACTCTACTAACTGAACCTCACAGTTCTACTCAAACTGACTACAAATCCTTTGACCATTTATATTTCCCAAGCGCTGATTGGGGCTGGAATGGGTACTTATATACAGATCGGCTACACCCTGATCTTGCCATATACACCCGAATTTGAAACCCAAGGAGCTCTAGCTTTCATTATTATCTGTATGTGCTCTCCCCTAATTGTTGGCTAAATGCTACTTACATATTTGTCTCAGCACAAACTGGCGCTATAGCTTTTTCTCTCTCTGTCTCTAGCTCATTATTCACGAACATTGCTATTCAGGGATTAACAAAATTGTTGCCGAATAGCTCTAAAGAAGAAATTGAGCGTGCTTTATCGGGCCAAAGTGGTATGTTCTTTGATATTGTACCAGCGCACATTCGCGATACGGCGCTCGGTGTACTGGTGTCTGCAATGCGCCCAGCGTACATCTAACCCATCCAATAGTCTGCGTGGAAATGACTAACTAGGTTCTAGTTGGATCATTAGTTGCATTGCTCTCTTGGCCGGTTTGTTAGCCTCTGTTGGATTAGTTGTGAGTAATCTGGCAGCCTCATGGCAAGATTTTATTCTAATGAATCAAAGGTTTTACTGTTATACAGGAAGAAAATAAACTAGAAGACTATTTTTGGAATTGAAAGGAATTATTGAGATTATAACGCTTGAAGGTTTGAGGAGGAATTGGTAAGAGTCTGCGAGGAAGCCCATGTCAATGTTAAAAGCAGTGAGAACGTGAAAGGCGAGAAGATAGACGGTCTCCGGGTTGGATAAGAATCAAGAGTTGATGGCAAAAGTTGAATTGGGAGACCGCTTGCGCGTTTTGGGTTGCTGGGGAGATTGATGAAGGTGACGATGGGTGAACTCTATTTTCGGGCGACTTTAGAGCGAGTGAACAGTCTGTAGAGAACGTCAGCCATCACAGAAGTTCCAATAACTTTCTTGTCTGGAAATCGTTTCTCCCAATCTCCCATCAAAACCCCCTTTTCATCAGAACAATGTTCAACGAACTCCTCTTCGCCTACTACGTCGTAAAGTTTGTGGCCGTCGTGGTGTGTTTCGAGGGCGGTTTTGGGATATGTGGCTCCTCGACGAGCTGCACTTGGAGCTGGCAATTGGCCGAGATTTCTGCCGTCAGTATCCTAATTTGACAGCAGATTCGGAATCTTGCAGAAGGTTGACTTACGTACAGTGGTGCTGTTCTACCTATACCCTCGCACGTTCGGTCTTCAACGCTTTCAACGCCCTGTGTGGCAAACCACCACCTTCTCGAACCCAGCGCAAGGCAACCTCGGTTCTCTTGTTGCTATTACAATTTGTGCTGATCGCACTCGCCATTGCCATTGCCATCAAAACTCAGCATTCGTTAGATTCTTCGCTCCCAGTCCATAAAACAGAGAGAGAGAGAGAGTATGGGCGCCGCTCGTTCGGTCCTCAACGCTTCTTAGGTTCTGCTAGGTACCGATGTACTCGAATATTTGTGCTCGGTTGTGGCGAGGTGGTTCGAATAAAGGGGAGATAGCGCCGCTGGTGCCGATGGATCTGGTGTGCTCCCTTGTCTTCTTGTTCTGGCAGAGCTGCTGCTGGATGATTCAGATGCGCTCGAGCTAATGGCGGGATTCGCGCGGGAGCGGAGCGGCCTGACCAACTGCTTGTCCTTTTGTTTGAGGGCACCCTCCTATGCTAGAGCTGTGGTGTGATTTTGTCGGTCGTTTTTTGTCTGTTTTGTTGTGAGAAGAGAGGCGAGAGGAGATATCGTTTTTGTGCGGCGTGTCGTGTGGAGTCTGCGGGTGCGCTGCTACTTCGGTTTCGTTCGTTGCGGTATCGTCTTGTTGAATTGAAATATTTTCCCTTCTCTCTCCGAACGCGAAGATGCTGCAAAGAGATATGTGGAGGCAGCGGAAGGCAGTGACAGTCGTCGTACCTGCCATATTGAAAGCCTATTACCTCGACACAACCCAAAGCGCAGGCCGCCTGGAATTTCATCCCTCCCGGGAGACATTGGAAATGAATCTATGAGATTAGAGGAATAACTCCTATTGACTGAGGCGGGAGGAAGACGTGTGCAATTGCGCGGGGATGGGCAATCGTTGGTGCCCCAACTCCCCCATCCATGCATGTATGATTCAGTCTCAACCTATAGCCCCCTGAATTAAAATGAAGCAATCGACACAGAAAAAGACGGTGAGGAATTTCCCTGTTTCTCCGAAAATGGGGCATCTCTTTTCATTTGTGGTATTATATGTCACTTGACAACTCGCACGAGATAGAATTGGTACTCAGCCCTATCATAGTATTCTGGTAATACATTTGCCAATAATAAGATATTGAGAATCAAAGAAACATCGTCTGGCTTAGTGCAAATAAGTCAGATATTCCAAATCCCAAGACAAAAGAACTCAAAACTATATTCGAGGCCAAAGAAGCATATTTCAGAGCTCTATCGATGCAGCAGACACAGGCCAGCTGTTGCTGCCGCAGTGCCGGCCGGCGACGTCGAAGAGCTGTGTCGAAATAGAAGATGGAATTCTGCAATAGAACGGATGTTGCAACGTTGATAAGCCTATTTCGGGTTACAGGCCTTTTGGTAGGGCTAGGAAGCGAGCTCTCGATCTTCGGGTGGGAGGAGGGGGCGCGGGGCGGAGGTAACGAGCGAGAGGAGCTTACCAAAAATCTGTGCCGCACCCTACGAAAATTTCAAGCACTAATTTTCCAGTACCTATAGCCTATAATCTAGTGACCATCGCCCTAAAATTTAGTAACAAGAAGCCTATAATCATAGGGCCCTCTTTTCCTCGTGACCCACGTTTTAACTCGCTCGCTCTCCCCACATCACTCGCCCTCACCCCCTCTCTCCTAGCCCTATTCTTATCTATATCGAAGCAAGAATTAAAGAGAGAGAGAGAGAGAGAGAGTCAATATTTAAGTAGTAATAGAGGCACAGGGAGAGGGGGCGTGGTGTGCGTGGGATTTTTGGTGGGGTGAAGCATGCTACGTGCCTAGTGCGAAGTTCAGTGGCGCTTAGAACTACGGCTTTCCGTAGGGTGGCCGCTAGATTCAGGCTGGCAAAGTCTGAAGCCCCCATGGACGTCAGCGAGGACTAGCTGCCGGCATGAAGCTATAAAGACTTTACTCTTCTTCGCACACACTTCAAATAATCATTGCGAATTTTTCAGTCCCTCTCTATACCCCAACTCGATATCCACAAGCCACAAAACATATCGCCGGTTTCAATCATCAGGCATTTATTTAGCAACGCACTCTACCCAGAGGCAACCAAAAGTCACCCAGCACTCAGTCCTCTCGCCCCTCGAGGCATTCCCCTTCTACCTCGCAGAACACCGCTATCCAATTATCACATACCAGCTCCTGTAGCTGGATTCAACACCGCGATGTTCAGCATCTTCCTCACTCTACCCTATATAATCGAGTTTGTAACATCGGACGTCTTCACCGTTAATTCTTACCCTGAGGCCGACCTCCCTGTTGAATGCCAAGCCTATCTGGACGCTACCAATGAACTTTGGATGAAGTTTTACCTTGCTGAATTGCTATATATTACGCTGTGTTGTGTCATGATGGGATTGTGGCTTGTCTCAGATGGCAGGGAGGTCGACCACAAGTTCGCCATGGAACTAGCAGAAGCCACACCCGAGGAAAGAGAGGAGAGGTTGCAGATGATCTGTCAGGCCAATGGTGGTAAAGTTAGACGGAGGGAGAATGTGGGAGGGGAGAAGGGAGATATTTTTCTGGGAAACTGAGAAGGAGGCTCGGATGCAAGGACGGTGGGCTTCGGCTTTACCTACGAACATTTAGAGGTCAATCAAAGGTCATGGCGTATTTCCGTAATCATGCAAACCCGAGAATGCTCAGCTTCAGTTGGAATTACCATCCAGTCCATCTTATAATTCCAGCCCGAGTTCCCGGTCAATATTCAACGTCGCCGCCCATACCTGAATTCTGTTTGTTGTATCAATGATCCCGTTTAATTTACACTCCAGGATAAGTTCGAACATTGTCTGGCCTCTGTGTTTCTCAAGAACTGGATTATCGGCTTGCGCAATGTTATGTGGGAGGCGCAATCCCCCCGAGATGAAAATGAAGCTTAACAATTGTTTCTATGTCATCGTTGAATGCCTGCGGGGCCGCGATTTTCGAGTATTGTAATGTCGACTTGTTCGACGTGAAGCTGGAGGCGGGCCCGCTCTCAGAAAGAGAGGGGAGCTGTGGTAATACCTCGATTCATGAACTTTAGTCCTGACCATGGGGATTGTAGGAAGCAACAAGAGATGAAATCTACCTTATCCGTTTGGAAAAATGATTTTTGCAGCAGAGATATTAAAGCTTCATTTACAACCGGACGATATTCAGCAGAAAAAACGAATACCGTTTTAAGGATGGCATAGCAGTTGAACAGAGGCACCCACTAGGGTTAAGACGCTCTACGACTCCATAAAACTTTATCCTTGGGCGCGAGGAGGCAATATGACACTCAATTTTAGCACAAGTATCTGTTTAGAAACTTATATACACCACTCAGTTCGCAAGCACCCATGTGAGGCATTGTTTTTCTTTCCTCAACTTTATGAAGTTTTGCAGGCCCTTTAACGACTCTACCAAACCCCTTATAACCAACTATCTATTTCGAACCCCAGGATAACCGTCTTCTTTCTCACTTCTCAAGTTCTCTATCTTTTCAACATTAATACCGCGCTTCTTGCAAAACATCATTAATTCGTCCTCTCTGTCCTCAGGCGTAGCTTCAGCGAGGTGGTTTAAAAGCGGGGGCGACTCTCTTTTAGGCCTGACGCAATGAAGAGTGATAAAATGAAAAACCCAGCGTCAGCCCGATAATCATAATGGATGAAAACCTGGCATACAGGCTTGCGGTATGGTGTAATCTTACATGTGGGTCGCATTCTGCTGGCATGACCGTTGGGCCCCAGGGCGGGAGGGGAATTCACAATGAGGTCGAAGAGCTCAGCCAATTCCTGATTATGATTTGCTAGCATTAACGCTACCCCGGACGCCATTGAAGGTTCGAATTCAGGCACAAGAGTTCGATTGGATGGCGTTTTGAGAAATAATTTTGAAGGTCGAGAAGTGCGAGGGATGCCCTCTGGTGTAAGCGAATTTGAATTGTGACGCCGAAGGACGGAAATCGGTCGAAGGCTTTGTGGCCTTGTTAGTGTTAAGAGAGCAGAAGAATTGAAGAATTCACAGCGAAGATTACAAGTGCTGGTGAAGCAGAATAATTTTTTGTGCGGTTACCTAACTGGCTCGTCGGTTTGGTGACTTCAGGCTTTACCTATCAAATATTTAGCGGCGGGTCTGCAAGCCACGGCGTGGTTTCATGACCCCGATCCTCAAAAACCAAGGCCAGGGCTCCGCCAAACCGCTGCCAAACCGCACATCTCCAAGCAGCACACCTCTAATTC